CGCCCGCCGCCGCCGTCGGCCGCCCGCCGCCGGTCGCGCCCACCCGCCCGCCGCCGCCGCCGGTCGCCGGCCGGCCGCCGCCGCCGCCGCCCGCGCCGCCGCCGGTCGCCGGTGAAAAATATTTTTCGAAACTTTTTCATATTGGTCGCCAAACACCGGAAAATTATGTTCCGGGAAAACATTTTCCAGGAAAATGACTTCCGGGAAAATATTTTCCAAAAGGAGAATATTTTCCGCCAAACGAACGGAGCCTTAGTACTTGGCAAAAAAACCGGACTAAGCACGAGGGACAGTAATAGAATATTAAAATATGGGAAAATTCCAAAAAGGGGCCCGAAGTGGAGTCATTTTCTCAAATAAGGGCCTGAAGTGGCCAAATCGTCTTAGAAAAGGACCTTTGGCCGACTGGTGATTATTTCGTTGTCGGAGAAGGGGTATTTTAGTCAAAAACATTATAAGTATATTTTTTTTGTATTTTTTCTTTTCCTTTTCTTTTCCTTTTTCTTTTTTCTTTTTCCTTTTTTCTTCGTCCCTCCTAGCCTTCACTATGCCACCTCAGGCGATGCCACCCTCGCCGGCGTTGGGCGAGGGCCGCCCTCACTCGCCCTCGCCCTTGCCGGATCTGGCGAGGGTCACCCTCGCCCGCCCGGCCCAGGCGAGGCAACCCTCGCCGCCTGCGAGGGCGACCCTTGCTAGCCCAAACGAGGGCGGCCCTCGCCCGTCGCTTACGAAGGCGGCCTCCACCTGAGACCGGCGACCTCCGCCGGCCTCGGCGATGGCCGGTGAAGGGAAGAGAGGAAAAAAATAAAGAAAAGGAAAAGGAAAAGAAAAAAGCAGTAAAAGGAAAAAAAATTCAAAAAAGTAAAAGACAAAAATGCCCTTTGACCGGTGAGATCAAGTCCTTATTTGAGACTGATATGGCCATTTCAGACTCTTATTTAAGACAAGATTCACTTCAAGCCCTTTTTTAAAATAAGATCTACTTCAAATCCTTATTTAAGAAAATAACTCCACTTTGGGCCCATTTTTAAAATTTTCCCTTAAAATATTAAACCGTGCATTCATCTAACAGCTTAAATTTAGCACATGAAGGAAAAAGCTATTCCAGCTATCTTTTTCAATGTTATCTGGTGTGCTGCCATACATCATATTGGGATTGCGAGGAATTCATTGATGCATGACACAAATTCCTCCTTAAATAGCAGGACCATTTTTTCAAGGACTCATATTTATGTGTTGTAGAGAATGCATGATCTTACGAACGGGAGTTTGTCTAGACAACAAGATTTTGAGGTTTGGTGGAATTGGAAATTCATATAGTGATTCACGTAGGTATGTAGGAGAACTTCACTACAAGAAGTTTCATATGAGCTTATAGCTTGCAAGGATTTGTACCAAGTCTAATCCTCCTGGTTGTCTACATAGATTTGGAATAACGCACTTGCTTACTTAGCAAAAGAGTGAAGATAGAGCTGCAAGTATATTTGGGCACAATGAGGAGCGAGCAATATCGTGATGTTGGCGCCATGTGGTCACAACAATAGACCGCGGCGAGCAGATCTAATCATGGCCGCGCGCACGCATAGAGACAGAGGTCGTTCTGTTGGTTAGAATTTCGTATTCTATGTGATAGAGACTAGATAAGATGAACACATATCAATATCGAGTGCATGAAATAGGTAGTGAGAAAGACATATCGTGGGAGAGGATCTTTATCCCACATTTCCTTATTTAAGAGAACATTACACACTTCTTAACTGTAAAAATTATATTAAGCGTTGAAAATCGAATTTCATCGTTCAGGAGAGATTATGAAATAGATACTAGGTTTTTCATTGTTAGGATTAGGCGCACAAATACAACAAAATAGAAAGTACATGCGAGAAAGAGAAATCGAGATACAAGATTCTATTTTTGTTCACCCTTAAATTAGAGTTACGTCCAGTAGAGAATTCAACTAAAATTAGCACATTTCTTTCTTTTCTGTTACAACTCTTGATTACAAAAGAAAGAGATTATATATAGGAAACAGTCATTCATGGGCCCAAATCCAAACTACTAATAAAATACGGGCTAAATTTATAAAAAAATTCTGGCGGCTCAACCCCCGGGCAACATTCATGTTATAGTGATATTCACGCCTCATGTGAAGATATCAAAAACCGACAAACCTTAAACATGTGCATACCGTGCGCCGAGAAGGAGCAAAATCAGTTGCTTTAACAAATCCATACCGAGCTTAGTGGAAGAAGCATTTTCTTTATAAAACCTTACTATGCAAACTGTTGCGGACATTGGCCTCTCTGTCTCTCTCTGCATCTCTCTCTCAAGCAAAAAAATATTAAGTGAGAAAGAAAAGTGATTTGGGTGTAGTCATATCAAAATCCATGGTTGCTCCTTAAAAAAGTGAAATGGGCATTTCAATGAATGGCTGTGAGAAAGCTCTTTCAAAAATGGAATGTGTTAAGATTACTCTCCCCTGCCAAAAATGGAAATTATTCCCATGCTCGCTTCTCTCTCTCGTCCTCAAGAATTCATTAATACCTGACAAAGACAGTGCAAAACTCTTCTTTTTTCTTTTCTTTTAATGAACTTTTTGAAAGACTTAACAATGCTACACGTGGGTCCGTGTCAAGATCATCATAAATAGAGCTCACTCTCTACGAAGCTACAAACTGCAACCAGCATTGTAAGCTTAGGTTGCAAATGAGTGAGGAAGATTGAAAAAATTTAGTCTTTTTCATATTTTCCTCACTCCTCTTCTTCATTTTCTTCCCGAACTTTCAAAATATCATGGCATGCAAAACCTTCACAATAGAATCATGTTGTCTTCTTTTTCTTCTTCTCGTACACAATAACTTTGACCACGCACAAGCATCAAGGCCTCTCGAAATATTTCATCCACCGGGAGTTATTCCTGGAAAGTCCGATTTGATGAAGCCTAGGCCGCCTTCCATTGGTAGGTACGTGATAAATCGTTACAAGAAGACGGAGACCGAGGCTTTTAGGCCAACAACTCCCGGACACAGCCCTGGCGTCGGTCATCAGGAGCCACCGAGCGCTCCATGAAGAAGTTGGCCACCACAAGCCACTGGGTGCACCGTGAGGAAATTGGTCTCGACAAGTCGGTGCATGATGCGGTGTGGCTCTGAGGCCTACCGTGTTGTTCAATATAGCCATTGTGAGGAGATTGCTATGTGATGGAGGAGAATAAACAAATTTTCCTAGAAAGGAATATTAGTTTCCTTCCTCTTTCTCTTGTTGTTTTTTCGTGGGTCCTATACCGTCGAATGAGTTAGGGTTTTCAAGTAGCTCGCCTTCTTCCAATATCATATATGCAAGGGAGAAGTGTGGTGACGCGCATGGTAGAGTTTACTGTGTAAATTGAATTTGGTTAGCATTTGTTCCTGATTTGAATTGTTTTCCCTTATATTTGGTCTTTAATGTTTCTCTTCCCTATACATGATAAGATTTCTCCTACTTTTTTAGAATCTTGAGCATAATATTGGACGAAATAATATGTGAAAAATACCATCTAAACTTAGAATGTTGAGCATACGATGTCGTGGATAGAATCTATTAGATTGCACAAACATTATAGTAACTTGTCTTTTCAGTGCGACCTACTGTGGCTGTAAATTTTAAAAAAATTTCATTGATTTGGTTTTATTTTGGTTAAAAGATTATTTTTTTATAAGTTTGTGGGCCAAAAGATTGACTTGGTATTACTTAATTTATGCAATATTCGCTCCAAGAAGTTAGCTTGTTGCAGGTTCTGGGGGTCATAGTTAAATGGAAGAGTAGATCGTCCAAGTATATATTCCTCTTTTTTAAAAAGTTCATGGCTGTGTACATATCTTATATTCAAGAAACTAATTATTGCGTTTCACTTCTCCTAGGGTGTGTCTACCTAAATCATGGAATTTTTATCCCTGATCAATGAATATATTTTCTTAATAGGTAAGATTGATTTCTAAACTGAGTTGATAAATGTCCTAATTTTTGTAATAACTTTCTCGACATGTTAGTGAATTGACGGTGTGTGACATCATCCACATGCCTTATGCATAGCTTATGCGTACCAAAAAAAAGCTTATGCATACGTTCGTTTTGTATCTGCACGACTAAGAGCACCATACAATAAAACCCTAAAAAAAAATTATTTTTGTTCCCAGTTTTTTTATGGGTTAATGTTGCTGTTGTGCTACATGTCCTTTTCATTGACGTTAGCTTTTACTGAATATTAAATATCGTGGATAAGCTGCTTTGTCCAGAATCCGATCTTGATGATCAAAATCAAAATCTGGCTTTGTAAAGTAATGGGAACGCTTAAGAAGTGTTGTGGGCGTCCCACGTTGTACCCCCACTACTGATTGCAATGATTAAAAGAAATCAATAATCGACATTCTAGAAAAAAATACTAGAATTAGAAGTACCCTAACTTTCGTACGACTGTTTGTTTTGGTACCAAAACTTTTCGCCAAATTACTTATGTGCCAAATCGAAAAAAAAAAAAAAACTATTGCTTGAGTGCCTCCATCGACGAATACGTGGCTTTTCTTAATAAAATTTTAAATCCTACGTGGCTTTCTTAAAAAAAAAATTAATGTCCAATGTGGACAAAAGACAAGATGACCTCTTAAATGATTAATTAACTCACCCAACTTGTCTTCTCTTCTCCCTCTTCTTCGTTTTCATCTAAGAAAGATCTGGAAAGATCATCACGCTTTGATCTGAGTCTCTAAAGTACGAGTTCAACAAAGGATTTTATAATCATGGAGCAGATCGAAGGCCTGCTTTCTCAAAATGAAGAACGAGCAAAAGCATGAACTTTGCAGACAATGAACTACTGCTCCAGAGTTGAAGAACTGAGCTTCTTCTTTTTTCGCTTTTGAGCTCATCCTGTTCCTTCTCGTGCAAGTGTCGAGTGCAGTGCAGGCATGCGCACGCTTGGTGCTTGTGTGTGTGTGTGTGTGTGGAGAAAGGAACAAACAACCTACATCTCTCTCTCTCTCTCTCTCTCTCTCTCTCTCTCTCTCTCTCTCTCTCTCTCTCTCTCTCTCTCTCTCTCCTCGATCAGTTTAATTTGCTCTTCATCTTTACTGGAGCTCCTACTGCTAGTAATGGTCACACCACTACAACCTTGAGAAGACGACTGCGCCGCCACCGTGACTCGCATTGGCAGAGGCACATAGCTCGACCAATGGCCAACCAGATGTTGCTGAACCCATCCATGATCTGCTAGGACTCATCATCTAGTGTGGTGGCCTCAGATTGCCGACTTCTCGTGCTCTCCGCTCTCTTCTTCTTCAATACAGCACATCGTCAATCTGAGAGATTAAATGGGCATCTTCTTGCTTGCAAAAACAGAGGATCCCTTGTCTCTTGCTTGCACAAACAGACGCATCTTCATGCATCACTCCAAGCCCCTTCACGAGAACCATTTGTTAGGGTTAGGGTTTGAAGAACATAATTGATTTTGCCCCAATTTCCTTAATTTGGGGCAAACATGTATTAAACGACATCGTTTTAGGTTAATTTAAGCTGACTCACTTTGCTGGCGAGCCACGTCGGACAGATGATCTTAAAAAATTGCCACATATGATATTCTAGCCATACAAATCAACGATGACACTTAAGTTATCGTTTTTTTACAAAAGTGGCACTCAAGTGATCGCTCAAAATGTTTTGGCACTGAAATGAGCGCCGTGCGAAAATCATAATACTTCTAGTGTCCTTTTCCTGGACATTCTTATATATAATTTTATTTGAGTCAAAAAATATTAAGTGGATGATTTTATTACCGTGTCGAAAGCATTGAATTGTATAAGTGGAATATAGAAATGGAATCGAAATGAAAGGATCGAATGACATGATTTTGTTGTATGACATTTCATTGGCATAAACGCTTGTGAGTCATGCTAATGTTTGAATAATGAGTGGCAATACTAAATGTTGCTTATAGTGATCTGTCAAAATGCATTGATTTCAGTTGTGACATCAGCATTTTAATGAGTCAACATAGGAATAATTATGATCGGAAACATATGGAAAGCAATCAAAGGAGCATAGCATTTTTTATCCTATGGACAGGCCGCACTAAAGTAATACTGGTCATACCCACAGCTTGGGCAGCTGTCTAGCATAATTTAAAAAGTTCAATTTTAAAGGAGGTAGTGATATAAGTTATCCTTGAACTTTTCTTCAAAGTTATAAAAATGCAGCCCATAATTTTTCCTTATTCAATCTAATCCTTGAGCTTCCAAATTTTCATTCAATGTACTATTTCCATTAAGTATATCGCCACATATCGTACATTTTTTTTTATGTCGACTACCATGTACCATGTCAGTATATTTTGGACTAAATTATGATGTGGGCTATCACATTTATTTTCGAAGTCAGCAAATCCTTTCCCTTTCCCTTTTTGTCCTTTCTTTTGGGGATGTATCCATATGTAAGTCACGTGGACGTCAGGATGGCAAATCAACGTCGAGTTAACAGTAAAATATAATCACGTCAACTAACGGTGAGAGTTTTTTATAGAAGGACTATATTAAGTGAAACTTTGATAGTTCAAAGAGTAAATTGCACAAACAAAAAGTCCATAAACCTCACTAAATATTGAAGAAAAAATCAGAAATCACTCAGGTCATAATCCATCCGATAACCACGACTAGCGTACATATACAAGCAAAAGCTACCTAACTTTTCAGGTAGCTGATGCCCAATTTCTTCAAAATGCAAACTAAATCTCCTTTGCCTTTGTAACAGTAATCGTTGGTGAAAGATGACTTTTTCCGTCGCCGACATAATTTGGTGCAATAATCTGATCTTTGATAATAAAAAACACCCTCGCAGCAGTAGTTTTGGGTTGAGCTTATTGGGGGGAAATGATTGGATTTAAGGCACTGATTCCGGTTAATGATTTGGAAATCTTTCCTGGTGTTGTCAATGGTCAACCTTGGTTGACATGTGAAGCATCATTTTTTTACTTTCATCTCTCTCTCCTAGTGTCCATTACCCTTGTGACGTCCAAGCTCATCATTTGTCTTTTGAAACTTCCTCTCGCAAATCCTCCTTTCTCGTGGTAAGACATTTCTAAGTGCCTAAGCATCAGCAATCTCCCCCTTTTCCCAATTACTAATCAAAACAACTGATGCTCAGCACTCTTCTTTGTCTCCTCTCTTTTGTTTTTTTCTCAATGTGTGACAAGGAATGATCAGTTTCCGTCCAAGAATCGGGAATCAGAGCTGTGGGACTAGTTCCCAATTTTTGGGACCGGAAATCAGACCGGAAAATCTAGTCTAGTTCCCAGGTGGACTAATGGAATTTTGTTTCTTTCTTTTTTCAACATTGAAACAAGGCAAAGGAAGAGAAGACAATGAAAAAAGACGGGCGAATCTCTGAGGAAATAGCCAAGTGATTCATGATGGACCTTAATCTTCCATCAAAAAGACAAACTGGGTAACGAGGCATGAATGAGACGTACGAAGACTGTTGAGGCAGGTAGTCAGAAAGCTACAAAAAGAAAAAAATAGAGAGTACTGTTGAGGCAGGTAGTCACAAAGCTACGAAAAGAATAAAGTAGAGAGTGAGAGTCGATGAGATGCGAGACAGATGATAGCACAAAAATTCCAAGAAGAGATCAAAATAATCCCAAAATGGTGTACAAAGAATAGCAAAAAACAGCATTTACTTCGATGAGATGCGAGAGTGAGAGTGAGAGTGGAGTGGCCAAAAGCAGAGCAAGAGAGGTAGGCGAGAGTCAAGCGAGAGAGTGAGATTGCGAGACAGAGCGAGTCGTGACAGTTGAGCTAGAGGGAGGTGAGGCAAGCGACACGGATTAGGGTTTTGTTTAGATTTGAGAAAGGGAATGACTCAAGCTGTGTGCGAGAGAGTACTTTGAGGCTTGAGGGGTTTTTATTTTTATTTTTTAGTTTTACAGATTTTCAAGAATATAAATAAAAAAAAATAGCCAGTTTGGTAAGGGTGGTCCAAGTGGGCAATACCACACATGAAACCGGGAATCAAACCGAAAATCTCTTGGGAATTAGATCGGTGCTCTCAAGAACCACCCAAAACTGGCCATTTCGATCCGAATCGGGCGATTCCCTGTCTGATCGATCTGTTGTGCGCACCCGTATATATAAGAGCATGGAGATTGCAAAACAAATCGAATTAACGAAGTGATATCACAGCCACTTCCTTGAAAACTCAAATATGGAATACAACGGGAAGGAGAAAGTCCAGAGCTTTCAAAGAAAACCACTCAGATTTAACATAAACTAATGAAGGATTGTTCTTTGTGGTATCATATGGTACGTATATACTCTGGATATTGTTAGGATCGCGAATATTTGAAGTGAAAATATAGAGAAGAAGGCAAGCAAATTTTCACATGAAAAACCCTTTCAAAATCAAAAAAGAGAAAATCACGGTACTAGACAATCTCCCTTTCAAAATCAGAAAAGAGAGAACCACGGTACTGCACTAGACAATTTCTTCACTACAAGCTTCGGGATTTAACTACATAAAACATTGCCCCAATACACAGTAGGAGTCTAACGCATACATAATTATGATGGAAATTACATCTATGTCATTAGCAATAAAAGCCATGAGCTTTAATTGTACTTTTCTCTATCGAACTTCCCCACTCCATCAGATACTACATCGTTGTTTCTCTTTGCATATTAGCTCCTATACCGCTGCGCATGCTTAAGTTAGGACAAATAAAATGCCAACTGCATCCTTCTTTAAGGAGGAATTGACAAAGAAATTACAGCTCGAAAACAGCAAGAACAGGACAAATAGCATTACATATCAGCAGTACGATACCCCGAATAAACGGGTAGTATGATACAAGCATGTACATCAAGTATTGTTCCCTATTCCACAAAATTACATCATCTTTCTTGTAGAAGTACTCCGTTAGCTAGCCGTCACTGAACCATGCACAAGAACTCTCTCATTTAGAACCGTTGAGCATGGAAAGCAGATAGAGGCAGCCAGACGACAGGAGGACAGATGCGGAGAAACAAAGCAGATCGACCGGAGTATGTATAGCCGCCTTCTTGCTCTTGTCAAACAAGCCGATCAAAAGAAGCATCACTATGACATGGCCAAGCTTGGTTTTCAGCTCGTTGACAGATTTTATTTCTAGCCATTTCGGTCGCTCCTGCAAATTAAAGGCTATTCAGGCATAAACAAAGAATCGCTTCGACCATATGTCTAAGGGGAAGGCAGCAACATATCACTTCCATCTTTACTTTTAGTTCTTGGTAACTGATAGGAGACAGGTAGCAATTTATAGCACAAATTCACTTTTAGCCCTACAGAAATTAAATTTTTGTCCCCACAAACTGAGACAGTGTGAAAGGAACCTGGGTCATCAAAAAATAAAAATTCCCAATATGTAAAACAATACTGACCTTTAAAGTGAATAAACCAAAAAGATTTGACTTCTGTTGGTTTCCTTCCCCTGACACTGACTTTGCAATGTCGAGAGTGCTGACAAAGAGCTCGTACAGACCCATTCCAAATACAAGCATCACTGTTCCTAAAAGATATACATCTGATATTGCCAAAAAATAATTGCATGTCACATTACATGAAGTAGCCGAAACAGCAACAGTAAACAAAAAGAAATCAAATTTACATAAACCATGTAAACTTGACCAGAGTAGACGGTCATCTGGAAAATGTACTTTAGTCAACTATGCAGGTTTTATCGCTTTAGATAAAGTAACGATATCAACAATATCAGCATATGATAACCCTGAAATTGATCTTTTTAGACACCAATAGTTTTGTTGACTAAATCATGTACCTTCGACATGAATACAGGAAAGTTGAAAGTTAAAGGCAATCAAGTATCTACCTTTAAACTATAGTGGCAAATGCTACAGGATGCCAATTACAAGCTGTTTCATCCATCTTGTTTCATAATTCATGTCATGTTACGCCATTGGCCAAACAACTCAAATTCTTTTATCCAAACGATACAATAGAAATTATCCATTTCAAATTAACCATGTCTTAAGTACTCGTGCTCTCAGAGGAGTTCTTCTTGCATTATCCCATGCTGGCTTGTTTTAACTTTCATCTTCAAAACTGTTTACTCCACCATATACACACAACATATTCCTAAAATGAAACCACTGGTTTCTTAACACTATGCAACACATACACCAACAATAACTTTAAAATCATTGTCTCACAATCAATTTCTCCACATGTACATCATATTGAACATGCAAACAGACAGGATTTTCTTTTTAGCTGTTATTTTTATGTCACGCTCAAGGCGTTACTATTATATAAACGAGGGTTTTAAAAATGTATGGTGTTGACACTTGTTCACCTTATGAATTACGTTAAGTATGGTAAAAGTTGAACATTCTTTAATTCTTTTCTTTGTTTGTTTCATTCCCTTTTCTTTTGTTGATAAACATCTTTCTTCTCCAAATTAATTTATATTTTCCTGCCATAAACTGCTAGACAAGTTTCCATTATTTGAAGGAAATGACATCCTTTATTTTTTGGATATTTTTCATATACAACGCACAATTTTAAGCATGAAGCCAACTATTTAGCGAAGTATATTTTGCTGCTATTCATCTCATTTCATTATTTGGTGTCCTTTGGGGAAGCTTCATAGGGTCATGAGATAAGGGGCGAGAGATCAATCCTAGCAACCGAGAGCAGTTTATACAATAAAGGGAAATTAAAACTTTCATAGTTCTTGATTTAATCAGAAATAATTCACTTACGTGATTCGATATCACGATCTTCTATTGACACAACAACTATTCTCAACATCTATGTACGACCAAATATGTATGAAAGGATAGGGTGAGGTGATCGTTACAGCAAAATTTAGTGAATATCCATAGAAACTAAAGAAAAAACGACACCTGCTGCAAAGCGCGAGTTTTTCACCAGTCTATTTTTAACGGAGGGGACAGAAATGAGGCAAAAAACAGAGATTAAGATAAAAAAAAAAAACTATGATAAAACAAAATATGTTAAACACATCTGCACAATTGAGAGAGGGTACCATAACAGCAACATAAAAATAATGACAACTAGTATGTACAGATACTTTTCACTCACCAATAGCCTCAACTAGCAAGAAGATCACTTTGCTGCGATTCACAAAGTAATCCATAAAAGACTGGGTCACATAAGTACATCCCTGCACATGGCACTAATTCGTGTAAAAAAACCAGGCAGATGGGACATTCAAACAATGATTCAGCAATAACAAGAAATTTGGGATTATTAAATTGTAGCCATTTGAATGTAGGATGAAAATTAGTTGACCTTCCGCTAACTGATTTTCATTTTCTCCGACACATGCTGCGACATGGACAAAGATGTCTAAACATTCTAACAATATAATCACTTTTGCTGAAGGAAATACTCTGACCGACCTGTCTAACCGCTCAAATTCTATTATCAAAGAAGTTGCTAATAGAAATTTGCCAGTGCTCATCTCTGTAGACCACATTAAGACTTTACTAACACACACACAGCTTGAAAACATTATAAAAGCCATCCATATTTCACAGAAATGGAGTAGCTACTTCAACTTCCACAGAAAAAGAAAACTCTCAAGACTTAGCCAGCCACAACTTGACAAAGAAGACATATTATCTATAGCATTGACAGCAAGATCCATTATACTTAACATTTCACCATTCACACATCTTTCAATTATTTGCAATGGTTCTATTCTTCCTCCTAGTCAAACGATCAATCATTAAAAGCAGTACAAAAGTCTCCTGCTTTCATTATATACAAGCTAGTGCTACATATCCTTTTACCAAATATTACAGAACTAGTACGAAGAAAGAACCAGAGATGAATGAGTACTGTTTAATCTGTCCTTTGATTTGACCATGGAGGTCATTAGTACTTTAAAAATGCAACTTCTAAGTAACTGATGTACTAGAGCAACGCTCAGTACGTAGTCCAGAGCATGCTCTTCAATCACCAATGCTTTAGTTAGAATCTCAACATGTCTTTATCTTTTGCAAGCAGAAGTTTTGGCCATTTTGCCACCTGACCCACAAATTGAAGTCAAGTGCCTCTATATTAATAAATCGCCATTGGACTTTCGGCAATATCATAGTACCACCGCCCTCACAAAACCTTATCTCTTCCCATTTCTATGTCTTCTATAGCCTAACCCCTTGGACATAGATTGTATTTCTACGGGGAACAAGGCTCCATGCACCATTTCTTCACCATCTCTCTCTTCTCCCCCCCCCCCCCCGCTGTGGCCGGCCGAGGATGGGGGTGCAAGCATGTGAGCCAATCTTCCCTGTTCCTTCTCTTTGTACCATTATTCCAGCAAAAGACTAAGTAGAAGAGCATAAAAACCATCCTGCATTATCTATTTCACTCACTTAGCAAACTTAATTCAACCAGTAGAGCTACAGGATACAAGGTATGACCAAGCCATGGGGTCGTACATATCTAAGATGGTGAAGGTGACATGGCTCTTGTGGAGCCATCTTAGAATAGATAAGATCAGATTAGTCCACAACCCAGTTCAATCTTTATCCCGAACTGCTATGGTCGAAAGATTTAAAGAGAGCTTGTCACGAGTTGTGGTTGAAACGGTTGAACCAGCAGCAGCTGGTCCACCGGGTTATCCAGCTTTGAGATCATTGGCTATAACATCTGTATCTATCTAAAGACTTGTGCTCTAGCCAATCCATATGATGCAAGATTTTTTCCCATTGTCTGGCGTACATAAAGAACTACTGTTGGTATGCATGGGGAAGGGTTATATACGAATGAAGATATATACTCCAAAACCTCTCGTAAATTGCTCCTCTTTCCTTTCCCCCAGAGGAAACTAATTCTCAAAAGGCAATGAGGACAGCCAACAGTAAGAGGAAATATCCGAAATTCCACAAGTGAAAACGAAACTAGAGTTGAGATTGTGCGGGGAATGTAAAATTGCAATCTACTCAATTTGAAATTGCATACCTTGATAAAGCATAGAAATGATCCTACCAAAGAGCCCGATACTCCGAGAAGCGTCATGAACCGGCATCCATATATGACCTACACATTCACACGAGCGAAAAACAAAATCTCATCAGGACAGTGCGAAATTCGTCATGCTCCAGTCGCGTCAAAGTGTCGCAACCAATCTCAAACAAGACGTTCGGAATTGCGATTCCTAAACATAAAGACCAACTTTTCATTTTCTTCTTCACACAACAGCGCTCAATCTAAGAATACAGTTTAAAGCCAATTGCGAGGCGCTCATCACTTTCAAAACTCCTATAATCAAATCCGGACAATTGGCCGTCAATCAAGCACCAGTACCGAAAAGGATAATCTTAAAAACTTCGCGCATCGCAAGTATAAACTGCTGCAGCCTCTACACACACAGAGACACGTGAAATAAACGAAAGACAGCGGCTCGATCAAACGATCACCCTCTCTATGTTCTCCTCCCACACTTCAGACTTGCCGGGGGAGTCGCGGAACAATCCGGAGCCGGAGCCGGCGCCGACGTCGGAGGCGATCGCCGGAGAAGGCGACGACGACGGCCGCACCGCGGAGGCCGCCGACGAAGCACCCCCGGTCCTCGAAGTGGCGTCCCTCGCGGCCGGGAACCGAGCGCGGGAGGGCAGGGAGAGGGGCACCATTTCGCCATGGGAGCTCGAGCCCGAGCGCCGGAGCGGCGGCGAGGGAAGGAGGGTCGACCGCGGGGCGATTTCCGATTGCCGCGGAATCGGAGGCCGCAGCGGATTCATGGCAAAAAGGGGGGAGGATTGCGAAGTGGGGGGAGAAAATATCAGCGGCTCGGCATCAAACCGAGCGTCGTCGCGAAGAGAGGAAGACGACGCGCTAATGGCGGCCGGTGCGGTGCAGAGTTCAAAAGCGAAGCGACGGAGGAACAGTCTCGCTCTTCGGAACGTTGCACGTGATCCGGTCCGGACGGTCCGTTCTCTGCACGCTCTTGATATTCGCAGATCGCCTACTTAAATACCTGTGTAAGTTGGCTGATGGTAAGTGAAATAGGATCAATTTGTCCATGTTTGATCGATTTCGTGATTTTGAAATTTAGTCGCGAAGAAGTATCTCATTTCCCACTCTCAAAGAAAAACAAAAATGGCATGATTAAATGAAATGAGCAACCAAAGGAACCATATCGCTCGATGGCCTCGTGAGTTTGACTTCATTAAGAACGATCTTCGTTCGGGGGAAATCGAATTTCGGGGTGATTTTTGTGGGGCGGTTCGCATCGCAAAGATATTTTCCCTCTGCATTGTTTTGGCCCATTGGCAGTTTCCGCGACTCATGACAAAAGGGTCGACGTGGCCGACGTTGATGGGTGCGACGCGACATCTTCGAATTATTATGGACATGATTCGGCACGACAAGGGGCCGTCGCCCGTGCCCGTGGACATTGAAGCTCCACTCGTTCCCGGACGGTACAACCAGGCAACGTCAAGTAGGTGCATTGTATGGGTACATTCCGAGTCAATTCACTTACAAGCCAAGGTTCGAATTTGGCTCCATTCTCGGGCCGGTTCGGGTAGCTCACCTCCTGTGTCGTCGGGCTCGGGCTCGAAACTGCTTTTATCAAATAGATCTTTCGTCACGAGCAACATGTTCAGTACATGCATGTCGAGAGCCTTCCATCCAAATTTATTAATTCACACTCTAGTGGGTGTGACCTTTGAGATTAGTATGCTACTCAAACGAGAGAAATCTTGAAATTTGAGTGGGGGATATGTCGCCCTCAAACCAAAGTGCCTAACCACTCAACAAATCCAATGGAAGTTATTAATTGAATATGTATTATGCAGTAGTAACACTCAAGTCAGAGGTCAAGCTAAAGTTATACTTAAAGGCTGAATTTTTTTTTGGTTAATTCGGTCTAGTCTCATCAAGCTTCAAACACTTCTTCTGAGTCGATTCGGAGCTCGATAAATGAAGATTGGTCGACTATACCGACTCGAATTAATGACACCCTAACTTGCAATGTCGTTGAGATTCATCATTGACAAAGTAGTTTCATATGAGATTGACAGTTTTTTAGGAAAGTTTACTCGTATTTGAAATATTAGCTATATAAGAGTTTTACGTGACACCCTGAATCCCACATCAAATAGAAGAAAACTTGTCACTTGATCAAGAAGTGTAACTTGGGGTTAAGTCGAGCTCTGAATCCACGACGGAAGAGCTCGACAACCACCTCGTCATGAACGGCCGAACTCTTACTCGAAGGAGCCTTATCACGAGTGCGATGCGTCGAACGTTCTTCCCAAGTCTCTCCCTTCTCGTTCCAAAACTAATTCCAAACAAGGATTGTGAAATCAAGCACTTCTACAGAAAAAAAAAAATTTGAACTTCACCCTTAAATATGAATAATCTGCAAAGGCAAAAAAAAAAATAGGGTCGTTGAGGGTATTTTTGTCCTTCCATCAGCAAAGTTGTGCCCGTAGTCAGGGCACTTATGATAACCGTGTGCACTCTGCGATATTACGATTTATCGTCGTAATTAAATACACAAATTTCATAACTTGTTACAGATTAAATTTGTGATATTACAATGAATCATGGTAAACGATCTTGCAAAAAAAGTACCTTAGAAATATTCCTGAGTGAGTAGATGCGCTCTTTCATAAAAAATAAATAAATGAAAGAACATAAATCGTGTGAATTAGATGAAGCAGAATACAAAAGGCATAAGTCGATCCAAATGGATCAGATTATGAAATTGAAATATGTCAGAGTAAATATAGAATTACGAATTTATACATTAATGTGGACATGGACATAATAATTGTGAACAAGAAAAGAAAAACACGAGGATATGTGAAGAAGAGAAAACAAATCGTGGCGTTGTTCCTCCAAATTTCCTGCCTCCTGCTTTGACGTGGCGTTCATGCAGATGCTTTGTGTGGCCGCTGCTGCTACTTTGTCCACTACTCTTTCTCTGTCTCTCTCTCTCGGAGTCGAAAGCCTGCCTGTGCCTTGCTGCTTTGCTTTTCCCCTTGTGAGTGTTTCAACTTCTTGTGCATCTATCATTAGGGTGTTCAAATTCTATCTACGCCTGTGCTTTTATGATTCTCTCACCATCCTCGTTTCTGGGTTCTTTTTCTTCGGCTAATCCTATATACTAATCTGTGTGGCTCTCCCGTATGAAGAAATTATGATGTGAAAGTGCGCATGCTCTGTTTTGAGGCAGGTTCTTTGGTGGGCCTTCTTTTTTTAAGTTTGTCATTTATTTTCATGTTGAACGTGTGGGGGCTCGCATTCAATGTCGCTGGGTTGATACTGATCTTTACGTGTAGTTATCCAGCTGATAGCTTTGAGTGTTTTAATTGGAATAATAATTGGGGTCTTGCAACATACTTGCTTGAGAAGTTTTGATTAATCTGTTTGCTGGTCGTGTATAGAATTGTTGCTATTTCTCACAAGCAAGAGACGGATGATTTGTCATTTAGGTTCGGTGTGGAACTCAGTTCCAAAGTGCAGTACTTGTAAACTACCTAGTAATGATAGAGCGTTGATAGCTTTTGTATTTGGAAAAGCAAATGCAAGGAAGAGAGTTCCCATTGCTTTCTAACAATCCTTAAACATGAAAGATTTGTTATTCCGCTAATTAGCATGCAAAATTTTGAACTCGAACATGCAAATGTCCTGGCTTACATGAGTGCTCCACCATGGCAAGTCTAGGACGTCTGCTCCAAGTTAAATTAACCAAGTTTGTTTGCGGGGACAGATAATGTTTTAGTGTACATGGATGCTTCATTACTCTCGTACAGATTCGAGAAAGGGTTAAGGGACTAGACTGACTGGCGTTTAGAACAAACAAATCATGGAGGACGGATTGATGAGATGCAATAAAACAAAGAGCGCTGCTGTTACTGTTAACATGTGGAGGTACTCAGTTAAGTGTTATGTTTTAGCTTGTGGGAGAAGCTTGTTTTCAACATGGCTGGTGCTATGAACCTAGCATAAGTGGTCCAGCTTGAAGAAACAATCATTTGGGCCTTAAATATTTTCGGAAAGTTTACAATTGGATCTGACATTAGTCAGGTGCAAATGGTGCATTAGGTGAGCAGTTCTTTCTCTTCACCTCTTGTTGGCCGTTGTATATGGCGTACTTGTTTAAAAACCTACGAAAATACGCACTCATAGTTTGCCACATAAGGTTACTCTTGGAAAAATCAAAAGGCCACTCAGGAACAGAGAGACGTTCCATTTGCAGGGGAGTTGGAAGTGTTGGTGAATAAGACATATCGTCCAATGACATCAGCTTCGGAGCTAGTGAACACTTTAATAATCTTGGTGACAAAGCTGTTCTCCCTACTCAAGCTAATATGCCTGTTTGGAGTGAAGACTACCTTGATTATCCTTCACACCTGGATGGAGCTAACAATGGCTGCAATCTCATTGCATGTGAACATATGTTGGAAAGTGATTCTATGGATGGTTGCTCTTATAACTCTTTCATTCCGAATTTTGACTGCTATTCAGAGGGAAAGGCAGGTTTGTTTATTCGAGCATACCCTTGTTAAATGTGCTTCTTTATCTTCGTGTGCACATACTAATTGCTTGCTTCTTGCATTTTCCATGAACCACTGCCATGAATTCATGAAGTTCTAGCTGAGTGTAATATCAAATTTAAAAAGGAAATAGGAGATCGGGTGTTTTTAGCTGGACTGCTATAGAAATTATGCACCTACTGCTGCACTATGACCTGAAAATGTCGGTAAGGAGGAAGGAAGAATGAGAAAGAACAGGAACAAAGTATAGGCTCCACTTACACAGAAAACAGAGAGAGGGAATAGGAGTTCTTTTGCAGTTTCTCATTATTGATATTAGTTTGTTGTATAGAGGAAGTGTACAACTCTTTCGTTTATCATATTATTCCCATCGTCTAATTTTACTTGGATTTTGATTTTTCCTCTAATTGTTCACTATTGTAGTCACTGGTTATATAATCGAACTTAAACTTGGGCAGTTGCAATTAGTGTAGCCTGCAGAGTCATGTTGATCAGTTGCATAAGATGCTTGGATTCGAAGATAGGATTGAAAGTAGGAGAATGACCTCCTATACAGCTACAGTCTCACAATGTCTGGACTCATTTTGGGTTGAATACACTCCTGGTTTAAAAGAACATGATCAAATAGAGTTGTTTTTGCTCGTCTTTAGGATATTTTAAGTAATTTGGAGTGATCAAAAATATTTATAATTATAATATTCCTGTACATATATGTGTTTGCTAGATGATCAGTTTCTCCCTATCCTTGTATCTTTATCTTCTCTATCTTGAACAAAAATTGGTCAATTCCTTTTGTATGTTGTGTTAAAAGATTGCTTTGTCATCCAGTTCTTCATGTACAAATCTATCTTCTCTTTCCTTCTCCTTTCAAGATGATAGTTATTCTGTTCTGCAGCTGGAAGTAAATTTACTAGCAATGCAGATGGAGTTGGAAAATCTTGTGTGAGAGAGGAAAGAACTCGAGGAGCGTTACCGTAAAGCAGTCAAAGAACGGAAAATGTTGGAATTCATTTTATCTGAACTTGAAGACGAGCGTGAGAAGACCATGGCAAGACTTGAAGTGTTAGAGGACGAGGTTTGTTTCCTTTTCAATGTTGAAGCAATTGGCCTGATTGTTCTTCCATAATAAATCTTGTTATCTGGCTTTGATTTCTTTTGTAAGTTCTCAATCACTGGTTGTGCCGTTAATTTATGAACTATGGGAAGTGGCAACATGCTGGTTGCACATATACATATATGAATGTACCTAAGAATCCTAGTAGAATCTCTCTTATGCAAGAGCCAAGAGCGGTTCCCTAGAATTTGTGAAATATAATGAGATTTGCTGGAGGTGTCCAAATGACAGGATAGACTTATGAATGTGTGGGTGCGCCCTGCCCAATGCATGTGGATTCGGCGAATTGCATTGCATCCGAGAGGATTGGTCAAGCCTGTGTTATATGAAATAATGAAGTCGATAGGGTTGAAATATTTTCTGGGATCTTGGTTTTGTCTGAGTGTTTACCAGATTCTATGCAGTTGTATAAGAATTTTGTTTCCGGAACTGGTTGATTGGTGCTAATAGAGAGTTTTCTTTTTTGGAAGATACATGCTCTTCTTGTAAATCACTTCTATTTGTCCTCTATACTACGACCTATATTTCAATATGTGCTTCTTGACAATCTTAATCGGGTTTCTTTTCGACAGCTTCCATGTATGAAAACTGAAAATCTTCGGTTAAAGGAAATTCAGGGCAAGGAACTTTGGAACTTTAGAGTTCAGGCAGAATCTGGAAATGGCCTAAACAGCCGCAGAGGTGACAACTACGGTGTTCCTCATGATACCCCGCCATCAAAATCCAGCTACAATGGAAGCAGTGCATTCTTTCGGGAGCTTTTGATGCACCAAGATTCATGGGAAGGGGACAGGAAAAGCATAGACTCACTGCTCAACGTACTAAGCAGTACGAGTCCCGACTGCTTTATTTCGCCCGATATGGAAATGAACAGGGCTCTCGCCCAGCAGAGGGAAGTTGCATTGAAGCGGAGTCTCTTCAGTTCGGTGTTATCTTTTATGGTCGGCATGACAATTTGGGAAGCTGGAGACCCGTGCATGCCGCTCGTGATGGCGCTCTTCACTGTTGTTGGCGCGCATGTCACTGGTGAGTGTGGTTCAGCTTTTCTCCACTATAAAAAACAAACCTGCTTCTGATGCAGTTGCTCTCTTGAGCTTGAACTGGTTCATACTCGGCGCGCTTTCTTATCCGACTCTTCCAAGGTTTGCTCGAATTTTAGTCCCCGCAATTGTGAGTATGTTGGACCGGACAATAAGGTGGCTTGGTGCTTCTTCCCAATAGCTAAAGTACGTGTTTTAAGAGTATTTTGTGCATTTTGGAGAAGCTTTACTTTTGTTCCTGTTTGCTTCCCTTGACAGTCGCTATATACAAGATGATCTTGTAACGCGGTAAAGAAACAGGTTTTCAACATTTTATATGTACTTTAGTATCTGTAAATGTGGTCAGTTGGTTGTGTTAGCATATCAACATATCTCCTTTCCGGATTACAGAATCAGTCCTTTGCTATTTAACGCTGTTATTCTCTATTATGATGAAGTCTCTTTTTAGATCTAAAAACTCCTTATCTTTCTGCACAGTCTCATTCAAAATCATTTTTACGGTGTTTTACTACCCTTAACCTGACACTCCATCTCATACTCATTTCTCCTTGTTGAAGCACTTAGAGGCTTTCGCTTCTCATGTCGAAGCCCAATCGATTGAGTTCTTCTAACTTTATCTTTGATCGGCATTGCAGGAAGTAAAATCTTATCTTTCCTCGAGTGCCTGCACATTTAGCAGAAGACTCTCGCCTTCGCCACGCTCATAATGCACAGTTGCACACATTATGTTTAACTGTCGAGTGCAAAACTCTTGAAATCCAGGGGGGGCAAAGTGTGTATTGTGAAAGAAAAGGGTACTAAGTGCAGGTGTTGAGGTGTCTTCATTGCTGTTTTGCCTTATATTCTCTGTTGGTTGCATTCTTTTACCGTTGATTGTTATGTTTATGACTGGAGAATGGAGATGACATGGTCCTTGACTGGATTTGAATGATGAATCTAGAGAAAAACTCAATTTTTCTGCACTTGAGGCCATTCCCAAGTAATGCATCTGAAACCAAACCCATCTGTATTTTCTCTCAGACCTTGTTCAAAAACTTCCCACAGATTACCTGCATTTTCATTATTGGAGGCCCTATATATTCTTCGACTTTTGGTGAAATGTGATGGTGGGCTTGGTGGCGAATCAAATCATATGTGGATTTGGATTTCCATTCTAATAAAAAAGATAGAGATGTTTCGCGTGCGCAAGTAGCACAGGTTCGATTCCACACAACCAAGTGCATTCTATTGTGCATTCTACACCATAAAACGTCACTGAAGAACTAAATGATATGGGTGAGCGGTTCCAGGGTCGATCCAGGTATCAAATCGAAATCGGTTCTCAAATTTTTGGAATTTGGAACCTATCCCGTCACAAGGTCCAAGGTCGGTTTCGAGATCTACTCAAGTTTTATTTGTATCCTTAATTGAACGATTACAATGAATCATTAACTCTAATGACTACCATTTGCTGTTACGATTCACTTACATAACTCATATTTAGACACATGAAAAATATGAAATGTTAACAAAGTAAAATTCTCAGTCATAAATATCGCTGGAAATGGAAGCTCAGACTAATGGTTCCAGATTACACATTTATCATCGGACACTATGGAATATCGCAGGATTGCGCGAAGACATAGAACAAGAAAAACACAAAGACTTATTCAAGGTTCCAAGTTACCATTAGAACCGACTCCCCAATTTTTGGAACCTGGAACCTATCTTGCATATTCTAATATCGGACCCATAAGAATCGGTCTGGTTTCAGTTTTATCATAAAACCATGCTCACCCCTACTAAATGATTTTAACAGGCGGAGAAATTCAGAAAATTAGCTTGGTCATCGCAAGAAATATTAAGTTTCGTCGGAACAAATTAAACTCTACTAGTTGTATAGTTGGGAATTTCAAAACAAGCACATGCTTTTCACTTCCTTCTTTATAAATGTTCTCCTGCTTTTATTTATTCGAAAAGAAGAAACGATCCAGCTTAGCTAGTTTGTCGTGTCTAGTCTCATAGATTACGTAGCATGCACGTTGCTCTTATCTATCAATCCCGTTAAAATGTAGCCCACATCCACAACATTCGCAATCAATTCTGTCCTCGTTTTTCAAGATTTTGATCGAAATGTCTTGAGTAGATCTAGTAAACGTGATCAATGTGGCTATTTCTTAAATTTGCCAATTCGACTCGAGACTAGACAAGACCCGCTCAGTTCATTTAGAATTTTTTTACCATTCATGTGTTTCACACTCCACAAGAAGTTATATACTAGCTGCCTCCTTATGAAGCAGTCCTCGAGCCGCTAAACTTAGTCCCCAAGACTCGAATGGTCTTTTCCACGTTCTCCCACAGTCGACTGATACCGATCAGAGGCTACATTAGCTTCTCTGCATGGGGTCAAATATTACATAAACTTTGTCTACGCGAACCGACTTCATCATATCCGCTGATCGCGTGAACGGGACCCACGTGATTAATGGCTATGATGGTGTCTGTCCATCTAAGTGAAGCCCAATGTAGCAACTTCTCCCGCACACGACATGCCTGCTCCCGCGGCGGGCGCATCCCTCGACAATCCCGACCTGAACAAAGTCTCTACAGACACGAACCGCATCGTGACACGATCATGGCAACAGGTTTTTCATTTTCTCTCGCCCCCAATCAATTCTGACTCACTTTTTATTGCATTCTCTTTGTATTTTTTAGGGGGACCATTAGTGGGTGGTGCGTAAAGAGCCATGGTCTATCAAATTCAATCCTATTAGATCGTCTCTTGTGATTCTACCTCCCCACTTTTTCTCCCCCTTTTTCTTTCTCTTTCTCTTCTCTCTCTTTCGTGCGTTCTAGAAAGAGGTCTCCACTTTGGCCCGAGTCCCTTTCAGCTGATAGGGAGGGAACAGTCGTTTTGTGCTTCAACTTCTGCAAAACGGTGGCCTCGTGAGTTGGATAAGGTTGGAATTTTCTTGGGTGGACAAGGACGCACCAACTACTTTCACCCCCATTAAGACGTCCGCTTAATTTCTTGCGTGCTTCTTGGTGAAGTGAATGTGAAGATTGACATCTTTCCGAGGAAGGTTTTTTTAAGATCAAAGAAGTGCAAAAGGAAGACTTGAATTTCCAATTTGAAGGAACTTTTGTGCATTGCCCTCATGAAACCGGGACCGAATTGTGTGTACTTTTGCGTTGAAAATGAAAGTCACGTTGTGTGGAATTCGATTCGCGATCGAACATAAAGTACTACTGTTAAGTTCTTTATATGTTTTGTCGCTCTCATGCCATTGGCACACGCTTCTTTCCATGCCAAATACTATGCTCTCTCGAGAGTAGTACATCACATTTACGTAAAAGCTTAAACTAATGAGTGATGGGCCAATTAGAATATATTAACTGCTCCACGCCACATCAATTCTCCGATGTGAGATTTATTTAATACAGTTCACACATGCATCTCAATATAATATATGTTTCTAATGCCGAAAGCACGATGTAATTACGAGGGGTTTGGACCCTCAGCCCAGCACGACGGCACCGCGATGGGCCGTGCCGACAAGGCTGATGTCGTGCAAACCCAATCTGAATATGCATAGGGACGGCCCCTTTTCCGTGTCTCATAGGATACACACATATATGTCGTACATATGCATGGTCGAAATTAGAGGAGATTAGAATCGGCCCAACTTTTTGAAATACACTACTAAACTTATAGATTGGGTTAAGATGCAAGTTAGAAGTCCTCCAATTGGCGGTCCACAAGTGAAATTGCTTCCACTTGATGGTACGGACAAAAAACTAAATTATGTTACAATGTAACTTCTCAAATTGGAGCTTTATCCCTAGTAAAATATCGTCGCAACAAAACCTTTTCTCGAGCAATCTGTTTACATGCTACTATACAATTGGAAATTACTTGTCTAGACCGTGCTCTGTGAACTAGGTGCGATAAGGACTACTAAGTTTTGTGTGACCCATTCATGGAACAGTCAATGGCTACGATCGACTCGATCCATCGCGAATGGGTCAGGCGGGTATTTGTCCACATAATGACTGACTTCTTGTCGGTCACATTTTGCCGATCCTATGGCATGTGTCTCTCTTTCCCCCGCGGTTTGACTAAGGTACCAATCATGTACAAGCAAAGCCGGACCACATGCATTGGTGACATGAGAAAACAACGAAACGTTTCTTGGTTGTTTTCGATCCCTGATTTGCAAAAGGGGAACAAAAGGCTCGGAAAAGTCTATAATATGCCAAACTTAGCATTCATTGCCGCTATCCATTGCCTCATGTACACATGTAGCAAGAGGACATCTAACGTTTGAAACTTTGGTGTCCTTCTGTCCCACGACAAAGAGAATCTCTTCTCATAAATAATGCTCTCTGAGAATTTGAATTTCCAATGGAGGCCTCTCATCTGTACTACATTCAACACGAAAATTGTCAAGTAATTCTCCAGCTAGCTGGACCTTTGGGACCTTACGCTAGAAATTTCAAGAAGAACTCAAATACTCTTTTCAACGCGAAATACAAATTTCACATGGTTTGATCCGTGTCTCTAATGTGAGAGATGTGAGGACCTGAGCAAGTCCTTAAAAACCTCGATCTTCGTTCGGACTTTGGGATTATTAGGATGTAAAACAACGAGAAGGTATTCACTGTCAAGGTACATGATAAACTTGGGGGCATAAGGTGTGCAGGAACCGACACATTACAATGAGGAATACATTGATGGAGGCCGTCGTCCTTGTATATCAAACGGGCATGCCGCAAAAGCTCTCTATAGGAGCTTCGGTTCCTCTCCTGTGGTGAGGTTACCTTATAATTAGAAACCAATGATCTACGGGAGACCCCTAGTAACCTTGTTACCTTGTATGATTTCTATCAAAATCTTTTTGTTCTCAAAAGAGGGGGAAAAAGTCGGCAAGAGAGGGCAAGAAGTACACTGTAAATGCTCATCAGTTAAAGAGTTGAAAATCCCTTGTCTAGGCTGAATGACCATGCCTAATCCAAGATTAGTAGGTAATCAAAGTTCGTTGAATCTTGACGAAATTATTGAATGGGATTATTTGTCTCTTGCAAAATGCAGAGTCCCGTTTAAAGTTTAGGTCATTATCAATTGAGTTAGCGAGGGCGGGATCTACATGCGATAATCTAGCTAGCTAGGCGTTGATTTAATTACAAGCCGTGATTGAATACGATTTAATATCTACAACATTATGAAAGGGTTGTAGCTGTCGTCCCTGTACTTTCACACTTTTTCTAAAAAAAACACAGTTCTTTTAATTTTTCGATCTTCGCAAAATTTTTAATCAAGTCCCTCCGATAGCAAATCTTATCAAAT